GGGGGGCTTGGTACTGTGGCCTAAGGACTGGTGTTTTTGAATCTATTGAGCCCCATTGTGGCATGGTTAGAACCACATGGTTTGAACATACGGTGTTCTGCACTGTGGTGAGGATGTATTGTTAGCAAAATTTTAAATGAAATATTTCAATAATTTATTACATTACATATGGTAATCATCCAATTTACCACAGTGTAGACCAATCAACAAGATTTGGGTGGTTCAAGAAATATGATATTCTGTGTTCCAAAACCATCCACATATGATTTTAAAACATGTCACACCCCTAAAAGAATGCCTAATGGGCGTGGCAATGTTTTAGTACCGAACAATCCACAGAATATCCACAGTACAGAACAACCCCTACATGACTCAAGCTCTGTAAAACCCCACAAAAGAAGTAAACTTAAATTCTTTTAGAATCATTTTTGCATTGACTCTCCTAAATGGATGATGTGTCTGTGTTAAACATGCATCTTAGTCCAACACTCAACAGATTCTTGAGGACATTTGTATGTAACGTTTCCTTTTTGTCTCCCGGATTATTTGATGTAAATGAACAGCTAATGTGCAAGATGAATGTCATTTTTCATCTCAAACGTTACTTGGAAAAAAAAGGCAATGTTGTAAACCCTCTAATTGCAGGTATAACTATATAATGTTAGAATTCAAAAAGTATAAACTATTTTAATAGTATATACTTTTCCATGGACGTGTCTACAAGTCCATATTTTCTCATCTTGCCAAACACTTGGAAATATGTCAAATTCCAAATACTGTGTCTATGTCCATGCAACACTATTTAGAACGGAGGAGAGGAAAAGAGCAAATTTATTATCCAGTTCCAGATCAAACTCATCACAGAAAATCGTATGCCTTTCTATCAACTCCAAGGCACTGCAGAAAGTTTGCAAAATAATTTTTCCATGGGGTTTAAAATCCAACCACAACCTAGTAAGACATAATGAACCAACAAGTGATGAAGAAAAAGCCCATTTCCCTTCCCGCACTAAGAAAACAACACCTCCGATAAAATGGGGACCATTGACTAATATTGGCCCCCTGCTATCCGGGGTCTTGCGAGGGATGGAATGATGATATAGACATGGAGCTAACTTTTGGCGCTTTTTTGGCACAGAATGGCCGCTCTCAGACTCGAACCGACATTCTCATGCTTCTCAGGCTGAGATTTTATCATTGCAGCACGCAATGGTCCCTTCCAAATCTTCTGAAATCCCGACCTAATTTGTTTATAATCAACTGTACCCTTAATCATGATGTTAATATTTGTTTCACAGACTTTTGTGCTCTCAAAATCCACCTAATTAATACAATCAATGATGTAGAAGGCTGGCTAATTGTCACAGAAAAAACAAATCCAAACATCCAAGCAAGCTCACTAGTGCAAAAGGATCTCTTCTTTGCCTTAGTTATGATTATACAATTACTTACCTGAACAAGGTAATAAAATATGCGAAGTCCTTCGGGATCTTTGCTGCTCTGAACATCAACGAGTGACCCAATCTTCGAAGTAGTAAACGAGATATGCTCGTTCCCCATCACAATCTCAAGCTCCTGACGCCCAACACGGTCGGGTTCGGGCCAGTTGTTATCATCTTCCTTCATTATCTGAAATTCTCCATAATCCAACCAAACTTTATTAAGTATTCCAAAGGAGAATAACCAACAGAGATAGAAAAAGATACAGAAACCCTAAAAACTCCTACGACTGAACCAAATTTCACAGAGGAAAAGAAGAGACGCGCAAGAAGAGAGAGAGAAGGAGATCGAGAGAAGACGAACCTCACTCTCAGCGATGATTCTGCGGCATTCTTTGAGGACGGCGGGAGTGAGGAAGACTTCTTTACGGATCATGGTGTCGTTCTTGTAGTTGGAGTTGTTGGCGTAGCGAAGCTTTCCATCGGGACGAAACTCGAACTCTAAGAACTCGTGGCCGAACTTACCTTTGTGCCCTACGTAGTACCGAAGATAGAACTCTCCATTATCTTCCGCTGCCATCTCTTCTTTCTGTTTTCCCGCTTGATTACTTCTATTTGCTCGCTTGTTCAGATGTTCCCTCCCTTTGGTTGTTTGGTTTTCTTCTTAATAAATAAGAACCGATGGCTGTTAGAAAATTGGAAACCAGTGCTTCCACGGCTGGACTAATGTGCTCCAGCACCTGGGTCGGTAGAAACCAGGCCAGAAACGCAGACGCTAGGCATGGCTTGCGTTTATTAAAGAGGTGTTTGATACCGTGGCTGTTGTCAGTGAGGTGTTTTTTATCGGAAACAGCAGTGCAATACCTCACTAGAAACGGCCACGAAACGGTTTGGCAATGTTGCTGCCATGTAAGATGGCATGCAATGCTTTCACCTATATTAAGAAGGTCACATCGGCAGTTGCTACCATGTCATATCATCATTCCGATAAACACTAGCCTTTTGCTCAAAATACCTTTTTCGGTGTTGTGAGCGGTTGAGAGTGATCATGATGATGGCTGAGCTGGTTAAGTATGATTAAGGAGTGTCTTATACGGACAAAGAAGCGAACTCTATTGGAAAAGGGGAAACCTCACGATAACCTCAGTAAACAACCCTAAAAGCCCTATCCTTTTAGGACACGGGCACTCAGTTATAAATAGGTATTCCCCACTCAAGGTAAAGGGCTTTTAGAAGCATATTCTCATAATATCTTTGCACTATTTTCTCTACTCGAACCAGCACTATTCTAACATGCTTGGCTCGACCACTTCCTTCTCTATTCAATTGACTTGAGTGTCAGAATACCTACCTGAGGAATAATTCCTCGGGCCTCTTACTTTCTCTCTTGGTTGTAAATCCTAGTGCACGGCTTTGTCCTTCCACCTCGGCTTCGTCTAGTTGGCAAGATGCCTAGTGCACACCTTATGTCTAAGATTGTGTTTGATTGCAATACAAATAAAGTAAATTAAGACATGAAGTAAAATAAAGTAAAATCCAAAACAAAATTTTGCATTTCTTTACATTTGCACTCCCATGCATTTGTATTAGTGCAAATAAATTTGCAGTGCAACCACACACAGGCTAAAGATTTCAATTAACAACATTTTATTCTCTCCCTAATACTAGTAATGGATGTGTGACATTCTTCCGGATTTGAGCACCAGCTTGCATAAGTACAAGGAAAGATCCGATTATTGGCCATTAACCAACAACACATGATATGATGGAAGGTTAATTTGTTGGAAATATTAGAGCAATTGGAGTCTTCACAGGCAAAGTGAAAGGGTGAAGTTGTTGACTAATCACTCTTGCCACGGGCATGAGCAAAGGAGTAACTTGAGGAGGATCTGAACTGAGTCCTATTCGTATGGTTGTTACATCCCAGAACCCTGTTTAGGGCTTCAAAGGTATATTGTCTCTAAACCCAAGAAGCCATCATCATCTCCAAAATGAGTGTGGTTAAGGTGTAGAAATGTCTTTATTGAGGAACTTTATGATTCAATGCACATGCACATGCACATGGTCACTAGGCAAACTAGTGAATTTTATACGGTTGCATGCAGTCTAACAAAATACTAAACTAGTGGCAATAGGATTTTCCCATGGAAGAATGAACCATCCACCTTGGTAGCAGACGGCCTATCACATGCTTCAATCATGCTTGGACTACCAGTTCAAAAGCAACTAGGAGTAAGGAAAGTGATGATGTTGATGCCTATTTACAACTTGTGGTTACAAGTCGTTTTGTTGCCTATCATGTGCCTACTTTCTGCCATTTTGCTCTCGACATATGCAGCACCATTGCATGATGCTCTTTGGTTAGTGTCAAATGACACAAGGAGAACCTATACGTCCATTGAAAGAATCTAATATGTATACGTTAAGAGAAATTTTGAGTTGATCTTAATTGCACCCATTGAACCATTGAAATCTTTGACATTGAGGACTGAATTAGACTTGTTAAAAACTTTGACACTGAGGACAATGTCATTTTCAAGGGGCAGGGAATGTCACATATCCGTTAGTGGGTCCACCCACCTAAGTATTAGGGAAAGAATAAAAGATTGTTAATTGAAGTGTTTACGCACAAGTATCTACTTGAATTAGTTACTTGAGGTAGTTACCTAGAGATTGGTTGAATTGAATAGGATAGTGGATTATAATGGAGATCAAGTATCATTTAAGAGTTTATTTAAGTTGTAATTCTCCTCTTAATTAAACCATTATGATAATTATCCTTGTTAATTGAGAATTATCATAATTTACGTGTACATCCTATTTGGGACCATAACATTCAAAGTCTTTCAAATGATAGCTAACCTTTTTCTTGCGAGGCCATCTACTCCTGAAACATTTCCCACGTTCAGTCGAACAAATTCTTGAAATCTAAAAGAGAAGGAATTAAATAAGGTTCTATTAAGCAAATCGGAGGCAATTTTCCACCAACATTCCATGGAGCTACAATTTGCAGGGGATACAAAGAGGAGAAATGTTTGGTTCTCTGGTTGCAGCGACAGTGATTGAACGAGAGAGGAGGAGGATGAGATGGGTTATCTCAGAAATAAGATACATTGTTTACATTCTTGAGTTTCTTTAGGGATCAACCTCAAGTAGCATGTCTTTACATCAAACAAGTTTATGCTTCATCTAGGCAGAAAGAGGGAGATTAACTAAGAACTCAGATGTCATGGAGATCCTGAGAAAGGTCAAATTTCCACGGGTTCTAGGTTTCTAGTTGCAGTGGCAATGACGGAACGAATGAAGAGGGAGGAGGAAGACGGGCGATGGAGGAGAGAAAAAAAGAAGAGGGTAAGAACGAGAGGGTTGGGTTGGGCAAGTTAATAAAATTAAGGGAAAATTCTGATTTGTACCTTGTACTTTGGGCCTATTAACATTTTGGTCACAAACTTTAAAACACGACAATTCAATACTTGAACTTTCAAAACGTGCTAATCCAATACTTGCTGTTGAATAACCGTTTAAGTGGCATTTGAGAAGACACAAATGCCCTTAAAGTGTCATCTAATTTTCTTTATTAATCATCCAAACGTTGATAGAAAATGAACAATCTCAAATCATTTTCCCTTTTATTCAAGAAAGTTGGGGTCACGTCTCAATGGGCATTCCGGTGACCCCAACTTTCTGCTTTGGGACTGTTCTTTTTTTATCAACGTTTGCATGGTTGATAAAGAAAATTAGATGACACTCGAAGGGCATTTGTGTCTTTTCAAATATCGCTTAACGGCTAGTTAATAATAAGTACTAATTTGTCATGTTTTGAAAGTTCATATACTGAATTGTCGCATTTCAAAGTTCAGTGACCAAAGTATCGAATAATAATTGGGAATTTCCTTAAAATTAAAATGAGTGTTGGAGTCCAGACTGCACTTAAGTCTAGACTTAGTTAAATTTAAGTTTCAAAGTAAAATGTAGTGTGGCAGTTTTCTATTGTTCAGCATAGAAAGCACTTGGGATAAACAATGTGAGCTCCTCGTAAGATAGTCTTTCCATTTTCTTTGATTACAACCAAATAGGACGAGTACAAAGCTACACAAAAAAAATAGTTCAAGAATGTATTCATCTGAAGAGTTCAGCTTCAATTAGAGCCTTTACTGTCTTGCATAGAGAATATCTCCGTACTTATGTAGTGTATTTCACGGGGAGATATTCCCAATACAAGGTTGCAAAAGGTAAATTTCTTTTGCCCTGAGAGAAGCCAATCTCTCACCGGAACCATACAATTCTGCATGTGCACCATACATTTTTGTGATTGTGCTCTAAACAAATGCAGGCTTATAAAAAAAGTTAAATTTCTTAAACTACCCTTATGGTTTAGTTAATTGACTAAGTGTATACTTATTGTTTGAAAATTGACTAATGCTACCCCTACTGTTTCTGATAATTGACTAATACTTCTCTTACCATTAGCTCCTTAATAGAAAGGCAAAAAAGACTATTTTACTCTTTATTCATCTTAAATTTTCAAAATAACTGTGGTGAATCAAAAAACTGGTTAAACCTTAATCTTTCAAACCCAGAAGCTCCACTCTGGTGAATCAAAAAGAAGAGTTATCCCCCTTTTACCTTTATTCCTAAAATACCATTCCTAAAACTTCTCCATTACCCGGGTCTCTATCTCTATAACAGTAGGTGGAGGACACCGCTAGATACAACCACCATGAATACAACAAATACATCACGAGATATCAGACACTAGACAAAAGCACCCACACGGACACCAACGGGCTCTTGTGGTCCCTGCTGGTACCATTACTTGCAAGAGCCACTGGCCCACTGCTAGAGCCAACAATATCCATCCGCAATATCGTTAAAGCCGTTGCATTCGAGTCAGAGCCTCAGGTTTTAGTTTTCGAGAACTCTGATTTCGGAAGATGTAGGATCAAAGCTTGGTCCCCCGCCGAGCTATGGTGGCTTCTTTGTTTTTGCTGTGAATAATAGAAGAAGTTGGTTGATTTTTGGGATTATGATGTAGTGGCTATTATCTGTAAAAGATCTCAAAGTCGGGAGTCGGGAGTCGCGAATCGCTTGAATTAGAAGCCGGAAATGACTCATTTATTCGTCCTTCGAACGCTGAATCGCTTGCCAAAGACGAGGAAGAACTTATCTGGGCCGCGATCGCAATATTACCATCTCGAAAAAAACGAATGTTGCCATCTTAGGCGCAGACGATCAATGTCAGGAAACTTGATCGTCGAGGGCTTTTGCGACAGAAGACCAAGATAATTACAAGCTCTTGTTGGCCGTTAAAGAACGTCTAGATAAGTTTTGTACTTGGTGAGTTGGTGCAGATATTGATTATATTTGTTCTCTCCAATCTCATTTTCTTCTTGAGCCATCAGCCATCAATCGCTGATGAGATTATTAATGCAAGAGATTATCGGTCTTCATTCGTCTACATTTTAGTTTGTCTTTAATTTATTGAAAATTTGAATTATTCCCTCTCTCTTCTCTTTGGACGCAAAACCTTTTTTTCCGGAATTCTGAGAGCTAGGGAGAATTCTGAGATCCCTGTGTTTGTCTTTTTTGTGACAAAAAGAAAATGGAGGGTAATTACTTTCTTTTTTTTTATTAAATTGAACCCAGATGGAAAAATGGAGATGCCAGTGCCGGTGCCAGAGGAGACGATGAGATATTACGTTGGAGCCGGTGCCAGTGTTGGAAGTTATAATAAGGGTGAATTGGGTATTTTTGAAAGTTATAACAGTTAGGTGATACATATTTGAATG